CGTGAGGAGACGCCGCGGGGGGAGGGGCGGCACGGCACGGACCAGCGCGCGGGGGCCGCGGTAACGGTCCTAACCGCCGCCCCCACGGCTCTTTATCTTGCCCGGCCCAACCGCCGCCTCCGGCCCGCTGCTGCTTGGCCAGGCTTCCAGGCTGGGGAGAGGGGGAGGGAGGGGAATCTGTTTTTCTTAAAGCCTCCTTTTTTTTTTTCCTCTCTCTTTTCTTAACGTCCCCGCGGTTTGTTTCGCAGCGCTCTTGTCAAGTGCTGCGGAGCGCTCCCGCACACGGGAAGCGCTCTCGCAGCCGGCCCAGGCGCCTCCGCTTGCGGCCGTGATTCATGCGCGCGGGACAGGGGAAGCGGGAGGCAAACTCAAAGTCTTCCCGCTTCTCGCCCTTGCTCTTTGGAGTTCTTGCCAATGCGAAGCTGCTCTCGTGAATATCTGCGCCTCGTTTATGAATTCAGGCAATAACCTAAACCTTGAGCCAAGCGTAAGCCATGCGCCATCACCCTCACTCCCCTCCCCTCCCCTCCCCAGCTTTAATCCATTTTTCAGTTAACAGAATGTAAAATAAAGCTCTCATTCTGACATCCAACAAACAAAGAGATGCATACTGGTTCATGTTTAAGACTATAGTTATTTCAGTCAAATGGGTGAACTCTCTTCTGCCTACCTTTGCCTAAGGTCCTTCGGAAGGCAGCCTGTCTCAGTAAGGATATCTAGTTTACTGATTTTTTTTTCCTTCTGCCCAACAAGGTTCCTTAGGTCAAAATAAGTAACGTTGAAAGACTGTTAGGTTTAGCGCTTTGCTCTGAGCCACTGTCCGTCAGAGTCGGCGGTGAGACCTCGGCTGTTCTTTGTTCACGGCTCCACGTGCACACTACTTGCCCGTGTCGCAGAGGAACAGAGCCTGAGAGAGGCTTTTCTCATGCCGCGCGCCTCATTTATTCCAGGCTCACGCCAGCATCCGTTCAAATTGTGGAAGTCCAAAAAAAGCCCGTTCATTTCCAAAACAGCTGGAACTCCCTTAAAAATGAGCAGTACTTTTTGCTATACAACATAGCGCTTTGGTGACTTGGCTTTTTAACCAAGGAGTGCGAAGAAAACACGCATCCTAGTTTATGCATGCAGGCCAGCAAAATCAAGGGTGTAAGCCCGACCATACTATTAGAAACACACTTTTGTCAGAGTAGTTAATATGGGGGCAAAGAGGGTAGCTGGGGGAGCCTCAAGAAGATTCCTCCACAGACACATTGCTGCTGGGTGGCTGCACTCGCAGCTTCTCAGAAAAGTTAGTCAGAAGAGACCTCTGGAGGTCTCTAGCTAAACCGCTCACTTGAAGCTAGACTATGGCTGACACCAGATCAGATCAGCCATGGCTTCATCTAGCCAAGTCATACAGACCTTGAAGGCCTGAGAGCACACAGCCTCTCTGCGGGACCTGTCCCAGTGCCGCATTGCCCTCCTCGTGCTGAATAGATTTCCTAATGTTCACCTGGGCCCTCCCAAGGCCATAACCGTGGTCATCAGCAGAGGTCCCTGACTGGGGAAAAGCTAACGTTATACCCATCTTTCAGATAGGTGAGAAGGAAGAACTACAGACCAGCCAGTCAGCCTCACCTCCAGGAGCACATTCCTTCCCTTGGGATCCATTTCCAGTCGGGTGACGGGCACCAAGATAATCAGGAACAGACAGTGAAGATTTACCAAGGGCCAAACATTCTTGAACAACCTGATTGCCTTCTGCAGTTAAATGACTGGGGTGTGGACAAGCAAAGATTAGCAATGTAAAAATACTTAGACTTCAGTAAGGCTTTTGATGTCGTCTCCCACAGCAAAAGTATCAGCCAACTCTTTCAGGCCCTCTGGGTGCTACGCTGGTTATCAGCCACCAACTGGACATCAAACCATTGATTACAAGCTTGGAAGCCCAACGGTCCAGCTGATTTTCAATCCATCTAACAGCCATCTCATCCAGTCCATACTCCCTGAACTTCCCAGTGAGAATGCTGTGGGAATACCTATATCAGAAGATTTTGTATCACAGACAGGATCATTATCCTGTAAGTTTATCTTTAGCTGTTCAATGACCAAAGCTAAATATCAGCGTACTGACTTGCACAAA